CCCCCGCCCCCTGGCACTTACTTGAGCGCTGTCCTGTAGTGGTAGACGGCCTCTCTGTTCCGTCCCTGGTCCTTCAGGAAGTTGGCGTAGTTGTAGTGAACCTTGGCGTTGTGGGGCAGCGTTTCAACTCCGGACCTAAAATCAGAACGTACAGTTGAGGGATACGGTCAGCGCCTTTGGGTTCTGCTCGCCGCTCTGTGACCCCATCTGTGAAATGTCCACCACAATTGTCCAAGTCAAGTTGTCCAGGATTTGTGAGCTCCATCAAACTAAATGTGAGTCTGGGACATGATGAAGGCAGGAAACAGCCATGCAGGTGTGAACAAGGCCCGTTTCCTCCTGCCAACACTCACAACAACATTTCCTTTCTTAAAAAAAAAAAAAAAAAAAAATTTGAGATTATCTACAAAAAGACCCCATCACAGAGGGATGACTGCAGACTGGTCTCCTTACTGAGTTTTATTGGAAAACAACAGTCCCCAGGCTTCTTTACTTAATCTAAACTAATGTGAGTTGAATGGTTCTACACACTACAGGTAAGAAAATGAGGTTTTGCTCCAGAAGGTCTTCATGTCTGCACATCTGCAGGAACTGCTATGGCAAAATACGGAGGCAGGCCTTGAAGGCAGCATGGAAGGTCCAGGCTGCGGGGTGGGGCCTGTCCATCAGCCCCTGCCTGAGACCACACAGCCAGAGGTGGCAGTGGTGGGGATCCATGAGGGAGTAGGCTGCTGTTGTTTCAGGACCCTCCCTGCAGGGGTGGCAGAGTCAGGGAGGGGGCAATGAAAGTGGGGGTGCTTGAGGAGCAAGCTCCTGGACTTAGACATGGTCACTGGGAAGTGGCCCTCGGGCCCTGCCTGGTGGCCAATGGGTTAGGAAGCAGCACTGCAAGCTGGCTGCAGCTACTTCAGTGCGAGTTCGATTCCTGGCCCTGAGGTGACCCACAAAGCGCGGCAGACCTCTCCCGTCTCTCCTGCTGCTCCCCTCAGCAGTGTACTTCATCAGTTGGCCTGTTCTGCTCCCCACTCTGTCTCTGGTCAATCCTCTCACTGCCCCTGCACCTCTGGCCTGTACTCCAGTTCTGTATGCATAAATCAATAAATCTTAAAAAAAAAAAAAAAGTGGCCCACACCTGGCAGCAGGAAGCTGAGCATGGAAGCCATGCTCACGACTACCCCTTCTCCTGCCTCTCAGGCTCTCAGAGAATAATCAGTTGGTTTGAACATCCCTCTCAGCTCCAAACAGGGACCCTGGGAGGGGGCACATTAGTTGAGTCTCAGAGCCTCAGAAGTCTTCGGACAGTGGCCTGCTAGCTCTGGTAGTGGCGGCTGGCTGCTCACACACTGCATTCTCCAGAAGGACAGATGCTTCTGGACGAGCTGTGGTTTTCTTTCTGTTTTTAAATACTCAATGGCAGAGGGTCTCACACCAGCTTGGTAGGTTTACAACAAACCTCCGGCTGCTACAAACCACCCGAATGCCGGGCAGGCGGCAAACTAGACCTACAGGGCTTCAGCCGGGTAGGATCGTTCACAAAAGCATTTCACCAAAATGTTCACAAAAGCATTTTAGCATTTCACAGGCTGCTGAAAGTGAGAGAAAGCAGACACGGGGAGGAGGAAGCGACATGAGGCGCTCAGGCCCGCTGGCAGAACAACCCGCTCAGGGCAAAGGAGCAAGCCCAGGCCGCTGGGGGTTCCAGGGGCTGAGCTCTATGGAGTTATGGCGGGGTCCAAGAGAGACCAGGATTGGAAGCCTAGAAGTGGACAAACTCACCCAAAAGTCCCCTGAATTGGGAACAGGCCCTACAGCACCCCCTGGAATAAGGCTGAGATGACAGTCATCACATATTCAGGGCTGGGGTGGTCACTTTGGGATGGACAGATACACGAAGACACCCCTGTCCTGCCAGTAAGTCAGCTAAGCTTCCACAAGACAAAACCAGGTGATATTTTATTTTATTTTATTTTTTTAAAAAGATTTATTTATTTGTGCATACAGAACTGGGGTACAGGCCAGAGGCTCAGGGGCAACGAGAGGCTTCACGAGAGAGAGCGGGGAGCAGAACAGGCAGATCGACGAAGTACACTGCTGAGGGGAGCAGCGGGTGGGTCAGGAGAGGTCTGCGGCGCCATGTGGTCACCTCCGGGACAGGCGGGAATCGAACTCATGCGGAAGTGGCTTTAGCTTCTTAGTGCTGTGCTTTAACCCGCTGCACCACCAGGGATATTTTAAATAGAAGAATACAGTGAACACCCATTCATCCATTCATTTGTTTGCTCATTTTTGGCAGCCCACATATCTGTCCTCTCCTCCCCGGGGACCTCCTGCAAGGCTGTCTCTCTGGTTGAACTCCAAGGACCTGCCTGTTCAGTGGCCTCTGCAGACGTCAGCAGGGCTTTCTGGGCCAGCGCGGCCATCCTGTGACGGGTGAGGATGAGGGCAGGCACCTGCCCAGCTCGAGCTCGGCCAAGGCCTCTCGCTCAAGGGCTCCGGGGAGAGGATGCAGGAAGCAGGGAGTGGTGCCCTCAATCCTGCAGAGCTGTTCCTGCCCCTGCAGGTCGGGTTCTAGCCTCCCTTTGATCCTGCACACACCCCTAAGACCTGCAGGGGATTCCGATTCTGCTCTCCCTGCTTATCCCTAAAGATCACTGCCCTGAGCCACTAGGGAGATGGAGCTGGAGACAGCAGCAACAGGGGGCCCCCACAAGATGGGGAGAACCCCACCAGGGGAGCCGGGAGAGGGGCCCAGGTCTACAGGCTGAATAAGACTGACTGAGTCCCAGAAACTGGACCGGAAGAGCCCCAGTCCCAAAGAACATTTCCACTTGACAACAAGTTTAGGGTTGTCTAATGGACACTCAGGTGCACAAACAGCCTTGACATTACATAAAAACCTGCCAGGAGGAGATAAAGCCTCACCTTTCCTGGCTGACAAGGTGTAAAGCAGCACCAGCCAGGCACAGGGCATGGTGCCAGGTGGGTGGTCCCAGCCAGGTGCCCGCGCCGGTACCCACTGCCCTCGCCCCTGCTGCGCCCACTGTCCCCTGTCCATCTGAACAACAAAGCCAGGCTTCGCGCTTCACTTTACTTCCAGCTGACTTCCCAGCCCGGCGTTAAGACCGTTTCTGTCTCAATTCACAGGAACCCAAAGCCTTCCCCCTCCTCGGTCTTATTTTCATAAATGCACTTAGAAAGCTCAGGTCCCACTCTACACCATACTAAGTGAAAACATGAAATCTCAAAGTCGAAAACGAACCTCCCATGTTGAAAACTTGGCGGAAGCGTTTCCTGGATTAATGAAACGGCAGGTCCACATCGCCAGACTTGTCTGGCGCAAGGAATGGGAACCAAGCAAAAAACGGGCAGAGATTCGTTTTCATCCGTCCACTCCTCGTACCTGAACAGGGACTCTCGGGACAGCCAGATCTCGTTCTGCTTCACCGTTTTCCAAGAGAAAAGTAGCAGCAGCAGCACCGTGGCCACGGTCAGGACGGTGGCCCCACATCGGTTCAGCCACGCCCAGAGCTTGCTCAGTCCGTGCACGAAGAGGATGCAGGAGCCCATGCTGGAACACAGGGAGACGGGGGTCACTGGGGCGACGCTGCCTGGGCCCTCCAGCCTTCCCCGCGTGCCCCGTGACGGAGACACAGACCCCAAACTTAAACAGCACTTAGAGGTCTAACTTACGGCAGTGGCACCAGCACATCTGTGGGTCCCCTGGCAGCTGAGGGGAGGGAAACAGGGCCTGCTGCCCTGCAGCCAGGGCGCCACGAGAAGTCCCCCTTGTAAATTATGGAGCTCCCGGGGGACCCTCCACCCACACTCCCGCCTGTCACTGCCATCAGCTGGCTCTGTTGATATGACAAGTCCAGGCCTGGATGCTGGGCGGCAGAGGTCACCTTACAGCGTGGGGAGACTGACTAGAGAGCACACGTGGGGCAGATACCCGCGGGCTGGCAGGGAGAGCGGGCACAGCTCTCTGCAGACAAGCTGTCCCAAGCCACTCTGTCACCTCCGCCCAGCTTCTCCAAACACGGGAACAGGGGGATCCCCGGAGAAAGGGGACGTGCCAGGTTCCCTGCCCCGCCCAAGAAAGGCTGAGCAGGGAGGAGGAGACAGGGAGAAGGGAGGCAGGTGATGGGGCAGGGGGGCCTAGCCTCTAGTTCCAGCAGTAGCACTGCCGAGAGCGGGCAAGCCCAGAGATAAGGTCATCATGAAACACGCCTGCATGAGAAACCCCTTGATAATGACGTGGGAAGTTCCCCAGTCTGCTGCTCAGGTTCTGCTACTTGCTCAGGCCTGCTGCTTGGGAGAGTCTGTTGCTTGGATTCTGCTGCTTGCTGGAGCTGGAAGTTCCTGCAGTATGCACGGCTTGACCGCAGGTAGCTATGGCTACCCTGACCCCCTCCCAAGCAATAAGGAATTATTAGGCTGTGATGATGAGACGACAAGCTTCCTCATACAACCTGTGTAAAACCTTACCTTTCTGTAATTCGGGGCTCAGCCTCTTGGGACTGATCCCACTGGGCCCCCGGGTGTGACAAGTAAATCTCTCTCATCACCTCTCTAAGTGCCGTCTGATTCCTCTACAAAATTGCTATAGCATTAATCCAGTATCACTGTGGTAAAAAGCCCCATTTACTTGCTCCATGATTTCCTCCTCCTCTCTCGTGACTGGCGCTGACATACAAACTCTGACAAACGCAGCCCCTGCCTGCAAAGGTGGCTTCTGCAAGAGCAAACCGACTCCTCAAGAGAAATCTGTCCCCATCTTTGGGGCAGAAATACCAGGAGGCGCTTCTGAGGGCCCTGGACCACAGACCCTGGGGATCAAATCCACGGGAGCCCACCCCCACCCTCCCAGATCCTAAGTCAGCTGCTCCAGTTCCCTGAAGTTTCAGAGTTCACTGCTTGGCCCATGAGGATCATCACCCTGTTCTCCATAGGTCAACAGGAACAAATCCCTGTCGTCTTACTTGACACATATCCCACACTGTGGGCCACAGGCTCAGCCTGATCTATTGGCAGACAGACGCCAAGCCAGGCACCCCTCAAGTTTCCCGGGGTGCAAGGCCTGACTTCCCTTTCCCCAGACACCGCATCTGACCATCACAAGTAGCCACGGAAACCTCAGACATGATAGAACTTAAGTCACTTCAAAATCTGAAAACCCAAAACCTCTTCCCACCTCCACCACTTCCCATCCTGGCTGCAGACTCTGGAGACCTTCTAGAAGCCTCTCAGCATCACACTGCTGACCATTCTCGGCCCCACGGCTGCACTGCTGGTCGCACTGCCTGCTACTTCGTCTTCTAAACCCTGTCGACCCCAACCCCGAGGAAGCAGCGTTTGTGTCTGGCCACATGGATAAGAAACACCCACTGAGCCCCCCCACCCCACCTCCAACACCAAGAGCAGCAGTGAGCAAAGCCCACATTAACCCTCCTCGTGAGGACTTAGGTGGGGGAGAAGCCCCCAAGAAGCAAGTTAATAGCATCACGTAGAGCGAGACATGACTTGAGCAAGCAAGAGGAAGGACAGACAGTGGGGGTCGGGGGGAGCAAAAAAGGGGGAGAGGGAAAATCCCTGAAATGCAGGAGGGTGCCCTGCAGACACCCCTAGTCTGGGCTGGGAGTTTCTCCACCTGCCTTCACCAGGCTTGGGCATCCTCTTCCTGCAGCTGGGCGGGTCCTCCTCACACCCCAGAGGCCCTGGGGCTCACCCCACTCCTGCCGCGCTTGGCAGAACAAAGACACGGCCGCCCTGCCCTGACCCTCGTGTTCACCTCCTCTACCTTAGTTCCCACGCAGCTCCCCTCTCTACCTTAGTTCTGGGAGCCACAGTAGGGGTTCGCCACCCAGCGGCAGGAGATGGGGTGGTAGGGAACAGGTCCCCACTGCTCTGGCAAGGGTTTCGGCACGGAGAAGATGGGTTATACAGCAAAGGTCGGCCAGCCCGAGATGGGCCTCCTGGGCAAAGGGCTAATGTCAGCAGGGGCTGGGACAGCAGAGCTTCAGGCTGTGTTAGGAAGCTCCCCCGTCACTGGGCCAGGAAGACCTAACCCCATCTCTTTTCTGAGGGCAAGGTAGCATTCGGCCTGCAAATGCATGCCCACTGTGGGGACCTCCCTACCTTTCCCCACAGCCTTCTATCTTAGCTGAAGTATTTAAGATGGGGTCTGGGGCCACATGGGTGTGTGTCTGGGCTGCTCCCAGGAACAGAAGGAGCTGCATGTGCTATTATTAAACTTCTTTTCGGCTTGTTGTCTTACCACACTGTCTGATGTTCATTTGATATTTGCCAGCCTAGAGGAGACCTGAGGGGTACAGGCTGATTTCCTCAGTACCTGAAAGAAGACAGCAACAAACCCACTGGCTATTTCAAGGGTCTCTATGTGTCCAGAGGGCACCCTGGGTCCCAGGCACCTTGCTAAGTGCTTCCTGTGGGCCTGCACCTATTATCAGCGGGGCTGAACTGGCTTTAAATGTAATCTCTGATGTAAAGTTCCAGTCCTCCGTGGCTTCCATTTCACAGATGAGGATGTGAGAACTTGGAGGAGCTCTGTGGCTTGGCTGTGATCCCTGAAGCTGTGTGAGAGCTGGATCCAGAGGCCTGAGTTGCGCCTGCTCCAGGGGCTGGCCGAGGGTTCCCATGAGGGGCCAAAAAGCAAATAGTGCAGGTTCTTCAGGCACTAAGGGCTCCGAACTTTCCATTTGGCTCTATTCTGGCCCAGGAACACTGCCAGGGACACGGTGTGAGCGAGCGAGCATAGCTTGTTTGGACAGATTTAGCATGGCCCGCAGTGGTCAGCAGGCGGAGCCCAGGGGCACAGTGGGCAGGTTCTGGCTCCCACCACGACGAGGAAAACAGGGCATGGACTGGCACAAACCACCACTTATTTAAAAAGGGCTTGAGAGAATGTTAGGCTATTTAAAGTAATTTCTGTTTAGGCTTGCCAGTGCCTAAGAAGCTTCATGCTTTGAAAGCATGAACGCCTGAGCCCTCCCTGGTGGTGCAGAGGCTTAAAGCGCGGCATTAAGAAGCTAAAGCCACTTCAGCATGAGTTCGATCCCCGCCCGCCCTGAAGGTGACCACATGGCGTGGCAGACCTCTCCTGACCCGCCCGCTGCTCCCCTCAGCAGTGTACTTCGTCAGTCGGCCTGTCCTGCTCCCTGCCCTGTCTCTGGTGAATCCTCTCGCCGCCCCTGCACCTCTGGCCTGTACCCCGGTTCTGTATGCATAAATAAATAAATCTTTAAAAAAGAAACCCAAAACAAACAAACAAAACACGAGCGCCTGATGACGGCGCTGAAGACGCTCCACTGCTGGGCCACTTTGTCCTTCCACGTCTGCTTTAGTGAGGCTCCAGCAGCAGGGATGCCCAGGTTTCCCACGGCCAGGGGATAGGCAAGCCCTCGCTCTCAAAGCGGAAAATCAGCAAAACGAGGAACTACCAGCTTTCCTGGCCTCCAGGAGCTGGAACTGGGCTCTGCTGCTCTGGCCAACCTGGCAGAGGTGAAACTGGGCTCTGACAAAGAGCCCTCTGGCCAAGCAGAGTGACCGTAGGGTCCCCTGGCCAAGCCAGGCCAGGCAGGCGCTGGACACTAGTGCAGCTTGGCACCAAGATGCCTCTTCAGGCTGAGGAGCCTCCCGCCTCCGAGAGCAGAGCAGGCCCTGAACGTGCAGATGACCCCTCCTCCGCAGGCCAAGAGGCGGCCTGTGGCCAAGCCGCTCAGCACGCCAGCGGCAAAGTAACTGGAGACGCCACAGATGTCTGTGCTTCTATGGTGGTGGCTGTCGCCATCAGCAACGCTGGGCCTCTGCGTCAGAACAAAAAGTAGTTTGTCTGTGAGAGCTGCGAGCAGATCAGCTGGTGTCGCACTTGCAGGAGGCACTTGCGGGAGACCTGCCAGCCACTGTCACAGCACAAGGCACGATCCACACCCTGCCCCATCCCCACCACGCGGAGATGGAGTGTCTGCCCCCGGCCAAGCGTTCAGGATGTGTGCTCTGGCCTCCCCTTTTGGTCCATGATATGCAGCCCAGGGAATCAGTCTGCTGTTCAGTAGAACTGAAATCCTAGCTTTTCATTTTACAAAATTCAACCACCCACAGAGGCTTTATCATCAACGGGACAAGGCCGACTCAATCCTACACGTAATTGCTTAAAAAAATCTTGGATGGTGACTAACTGCGTTCTGACCTGCCAAGTGCCCACCTGGCAAGAGAGCTGAGGTGAGTGCCTCCTCCAGCCCGATGGGCGCTGCTGGGGCGGAGGGGGAGGCAGGAGCCCTGTGGGCTGAGCCCACAGGAGAGCTATGCTGCTGCGGGGGCCGCCACCGAAGGCGGGGGGCCACAGGCCTCAGATTTACCCTGGAAGCTGCCAGCCCTGCAAACCATGACTTATCAGCAGCCCCATTTCTGCCTTGCTCGTTCTTCAACCCAACCGGATGGGTGGGGAGACTCTGCAGGCATTGAACACGCCTGGGGAGTGTGTGCACAGCCCATGAAAATGACGCCACAGGCACCTCTGTGGTTCCAGGCTGCCCACCCAGGGGCTGGTTC